TCTGAGATCAGTGACCAAGGAGAGACAAAATGAACTTCTACCTCCTGTTAGATATCTCTAACAATTAAAGCCTAAAACTAAACAATTAAAGCTAAAAGACAGAACAGGGAAGGGCCAAGGTAAAAGCCAGTTGTGTGCACCAGTGGCAGTGGAGCCAGCACAGCACAGCACAGCAGCATAGTTACGCAAAGAGGCCCAACTAGGCTAACTCTCCCCATTCTAAAGCTCAAAACTGGCAGCTAAGGCTGTGGTGCGGAAAAAGATCAGGCCCTTTTTCCTTAAATTCTGGGTGTCAAAGGAATTCCAAATTCTGAGGATAAACCCCAAGGGGGTTTGTGGTGGATGCCTTGTTTCCCATCTGAAAAGAGAGAATAAGAAAATAGAAGCATCCCTCAGTTTCTCTCTCCTGAGTCTAAGATGTCTCAGGAGTCCAGGTGTGCGCTGCTGAAGACCACAGAAGGGAGGAAGGTGGGAGTGAAGTCAGCACACTGACTCACGTCGCTCGACCTTCCACGCCTTGTGGGATGTCTCAGTATAGCATGTGCCAGGAGTGAACAATCCGCTCCTGTTTCCTGCGCCATGCTAGACCTAGGCCTCTGCCTGGTGCAGTATATTCTGGTGTCCTGGAGAACATACAAGTCAGAAACAGCATGTGCCAAAAATATCCCCTGCACCATGCTGCATCTGGGACTTGTGCCGGACAAAATATGCTCTCCCTTTGAAATTTGTCCTAACCTCAAGTTGACAAGCTTGACCTCAAACTTTGGCCTGATTCTATAAGCCTGTATAACCAATGTCCTTGACTGGAGCTGGAGGAGTACATGTGTTGACTCCAGTTTTGCGCTCACATTAGCGACTACACTAGTTAAGAGCTATCCAGGAGGAACTGTCTCTGCTGCCTGCCTTGTGAAGGAATTAAAGCACTTTCCTCATTAAATTTACCTTAGATCTCATCAGTAGAGGGCCTAGAAAGAAACTCTGCCTGCCTTTTCCCTATCACAGACCAATTGATGTTCAGCACATACTGACCAGTAAAAGAAAACCCAAAAACTGAATCCATAGAGAATGAGGAGACTCAGTGAGAAAGAGTCTTTGAGACGATCCTAACAGAAAAGGTAGCGGAGGACTTGTCAGTGTCAGAGGCAGTTTGGGAATTGAAGCACGCAGCACAGGGCTCCTGGCCTTGCCGTGGGCTGCGCCCATTCTTACCGACAAGTGAATCCCCGCGGAAGGAAGGAAAGAGTGCAGATTTCAGCCCGACACCCTGACGGGCTGTCGGAGTCTGGGATACAGTCTAGAGGCCTTTGGAAAAGCATCAGGGAGTGGCCTTGACCAGAATTTGAGGCGCCCTAAGACCTCCCCCAGTCTCGCGCGACAGGCGCGAAAAGAAACTGAGTTCGGACAAAAACCGACACTCCTGGAGCCGAGGAGCCCAGCTCCAGGGGATCAGTTTAGCTAAACTCAGCAAGCCTTGAGTCTTAAGACCCGCAGCCGCCCTAAACGCATTTAACCGGCTGATAGGGACCCGGTGTTTCTTTTTGCAAGAGTTACTAATTGTGGAGAGCTAGTGTCTCCGAAAGACAGGATAGAAAGTCCGCTTTGCTCACCATCTGGCGAGATGGATGTCTGGAGGCTGGCTGGGGATGAACTAAAAGCTCGCTGGTAGAATCCGAGTTACGCGGCACCAAAACTGTTGTTGGGTTTTTTGACCCCAATATGGCAGCAACCTCAATTCTTGTCTCACAGGAAAGAAGGATTTTCGTGCGGACACACTTTTAAAGCAAGACTTATTAGAAAGGTTGAGAAGAGAGACTCCGGTCCTAGTGACAGGAGGGGGCTCTGAGATAGGAAGGACCCTTACCCTCTGCCATAGTGGCAGGAGGAAACAGAAGAAAAATGGTGGGGGGGAGCATCTTTTAAAGGTTTAACTCAAAGATGTTTCTCCATAAACAAAGAAAATTCCTGGTTTCCATGGTACCTGGCCTTGGGACAAAAGGCCAGAAAGATGTCACTGGCCAACTTCCTTGGTCCCTTTCTAATGATAAAGAGGCCAGTCTGAAGCCCTCCCCCTTGGTAATGGCCAGGAGACAGAATGGGGCTGATGCTTCAGGTGGGGAATTGATATGTTAATGTCGCCCTTGTCTCTTAAGGAAGTATGTTTGTGATAAGCTATGCATTTGTCTTGGGAGAGACATGCTCTGGGGAATGTAAGACATGGTGGGGAAAAATATCCGTTTATATTTGAGGAAAAATGACTTGGGTACCCAGAATACCCTAACTACCTACTACCCAGTCCTCTTAACTCCTCCTCTCACAATATCCTGCCCATTTTGGATCCCTGGAGGCCGGGTCAGTTCCCTCAGCTGGATGTCTGACACATGCTGCCTGGACCTGGCTGTCACCAGGGTTTCTGGGCATTCTTTGTGCCATGGCAAGGTCCAACTAACAAGGACATTCTGGCTGGACCTGGTGACTTCGATGAGCAAGGAGTGAAGCAGAGAGGCAGAAACTGTGCTTGGGATTCCTCAAGGCCTGCTCTGCCCTGCAGGTGTTTGAGGAATTCAGTTAAGGGACTTGCTGGGACCTTGTTTCACGGGTTGTTCCTATGTAGAGACTGCATACTTTCCTGGTCTCTGTGTAGTGGAGTGGAACACTTGTAGGCTTGGGGCCAAGGTTCACTTTACAGGAGTTGAGGGCAGAGCTGCCCTGCTTGATGTGACACCTTGTGGAGACTTGGTCAGGAAGACAGCTGTTGTGGGGTAGAAGATGGGGCAGTTTGGGTGCCTGTCGCTGGATGGACCTGGGTGGTGGGAGGGGTGGGGTTGGGAGTTTGCCTGTGGCTGCTCCTGTGTCTGTCCAAGGCCTGCAGCTCTAGTGGGATCCTTCCAGGGGTTGCTGCCCGTTGGCTTCTTCCTTTCTCCTCCAGACTTGCTTGTGGAATTAGTCAAATGACTTCGTGAAATTAGAGTGAAAGGCATACCTGAACATATGTCTCTTTCTCAGTGGAGATTCTAAGCTATCTGAATTGTCTGTGGTTTTTTTTTAAGAGTTATCTGTTTTTATTGGAAAGTCATATATATATATATATATATATATGAACGAGAGAGAGAGGAGGAGAGACAAAGAGGAAGATCTTCCATGCACTGATTCATACCCTAAGTGGCCTCAATGGCTGAAGCTGAGCCAATACTAAGCTAGGAGCCTGGAACTTCTTATGGGTCTTTCACATGGATGCAGGTCCCAGGGCTTTAGACCATCCTCAATGGCTTTCACAGGCCACAAGCAGGGAGTTGGATGGGAAGCGGGACCACTGGGACACCAACTGGGACACTATCCCAATGGTTGCCCATTTGGGATCCCGGTGTGTGCAAGGTGAGGACTTTAGCCACTAGACTACTACACCAGGTCCTCTATAATGTCTTTCTTAACAAATTGTATAAATAACAGCATTCCCTGTTTAAAAAAAACTAAGGATTTTTACAAAGGTTAATAAGATCCTCGCCAAAGAGGGTGAAACCAGACCTGCTGGTTTTAGGTAGCATTGAAATTATGTGTCTTAGGCCTGGGGCAGTAGCAGTTGAATTTCTTGCCTTTGGTGCTGATTTGTGTCCCAGCTGCTCCACTTCTCTTCCAGCTCCCTGCTTGTGACCTGGGAGACCAGTAGAGAATGGCCCAGAGCCTTGGGACCCTACACCCATATGGCAGACCTGGAAGAGGCTCCTGACTTAGGATTCGTTCAGCTTTGGCTGTTGTGGCCATTTGAGGGAGTGGGCCAGCAGATGGAGGATCTCTCCATCGTTCCTTCTCTCTGTAAATCTGACTTTCCAATAAAAATAAATGACTCTTAAAAAAAGAAAGAAAGAAAGAAATTTTGTGTCCTGGCACACGCTCCAGGACTACATGTGAGTTGCCCGTTGTTGGGATTTTGCTTTCTTGCAGAATACTCAGCCAGTGTGCCAGAGTACGTGAAGTTTCTGCAGCCTGTGTGTGAAGTGGGCATGTGGACCAGGCAGCTGAGATGTGTTTATGGGCTCAGTGCAGACCTTCTCCTGCTGATGGTTTCCATTTAGTCTGTTTTTTCAAGTTCACCAGGTTTCCATATCATTCTGGGGGGGAAAAGGATTTTAAAAAAATGTCACTAATTATTCTACTAAAAGGAATCTTTAATTAAATCATCAGTGAGATCTTGACTCCATATTCAGCTGCTTCGCAGCGGGAATATGGGGGGAAATTTCATGTGATTCCCAAAGGCTTCCAGTCGTTGAATGTTTTGGCTTCATCTCAGAGATCAGAAGCTCCTGGGACCATCCTCCCTATGCAGTCACCCCCGGAGCCCAACCTGCTTCCTCCTGCAGCCCTCCTGGTCTGTCAGTGCAGAGCTGAGCTAGCCTGTATTTGGCCTTTGTCACTGTTGATGATAAAAGAGTGGCTTTGGTCTCTGGGGTGCAGGCTGAGTCTGCCGGGACTGGAGGTTTTGAATTTGCTTAGAACAAACTGTAATTAACATAGGACACAATGTAGTCTTTCAGGAATTAGAGGCAGGAGGGGAGGGGAGCCCCTGCTTCCAGTAACAATGCCCACTGGGGATGCTCCAGTCCAGCTTTCAGCAGAAGCCAGTTGATTGACTGGTGCATCTCTTGCTTTGAGGCTTGGTTTATTTTTAGGCCCCATAGAGGAGAACTAATCCCTGTCCATTTCATTTGGTATTGGCAGTTTGAAACAGGACAAAGTAACTGGACAGCCACCCTGGCTATTGTATTTCTAAAAGAGACCCTGCCTGGTTGGGGGTAGCAGAAAGAGCCTGTGGCGCAGGTGGAACTGGACAGCCTCATCCCAGGCAGGTATAACCGCTTTTTACTTCACACTTCTCCAGGATTGGGGCCTATAGGGTTACAAGACTGAGGTCCTTAACCTGGTTTAAAGATGTGCACAGCCGAAGCCCTTAGCTGTCTACTTTCCAGGCTCACACTGACAATAATTCTGTGTTTCGTCTTTTGCAGGTTGGGTGGCCCAGACCCTTTGGACTACGTTAGCATGTACAGGAATGTGGGGAGCCCTTCTGCCAATATCCCTGAGCACTGGCACTACATCAGCTTCGGCCTGAGCGATCTCTATGGCGACAACAGAGTCCACGAGTGAGTGTGTGTCACCTGCCTGTTCCTGAGCCTTGAGTCTGAGGTGCTCTGCCATCAACATTTCACTGGGCAGGGCTAATAACGCCGTAGTCCTGTGAGGTTGGCATTGCTCAAGTGGAACCTCTGGGTTTCTTCCCTCTGTTTCCACTGTGTCAAAGTCGTCCAGGGTAACAACTGAGTACTGCTCATCTGGTACAGGAAATTGGTAATAATAAGCAAGAATTCCAGAACAAACCATTGTAGTTTTCTAGGCTTGCCCTGGAGTTTGGGCTCGGGATATAAGCAGTGTGACTATGATTTAGAACTTGGGCTGATGCCTCTAAGTCTGCTTCTTTCTCTCTCCCCTTCCCCACCCCCAGCGTATTATTAAAATGTGTGAATGTAAAGCAGAATTGTAGTAACTTTAAAGTGAACTCTCATTCCTGCAACCCATATGCTACTATTCATATTTTACTCTATTTGCCTTACCTTATATCTGTCAATCTCCCTTTTATCCATCTTACTTACTTTCCTTCCCTTAACGTGTCTTCTTGGCACTTGAATTAACCACAGCATATTTTAAACAACCTAGTGCTTTTGTTTGGAAATAAAATTCTGCCTCAGGGCCGGCATTGTGGTACAGTGAGTGAAGGCACCACCTGTGATACCTCTGTGCTTTAAGGCCACCAGATTGAGTCCCAGCACATCCACTTCCATGCTAGCTCCCTGCTTCTGGCTGGGAAAGTAACAAAGAATGGTCCCAATCCTTAGGCCATTCGGATGGAGTTCCAGACTCCTGGATACATCCCAGCCCAGCCTTGGTCATTGTGGCCATTTAGGGAGTGAACAGATGGTGAAAAATCTCTGTCTCTCCTTCTCTCTAACTCTGCCTTTCAAATAAATAAAGATCTTGCCTCTCCTATCTCTGTAATCACCTAATTTATGTTTAGGAAAAGCAAAGAAAGCTTAATATTTACACAATCCACTTGGTATTAAGTCTGCTAAGCCAATAGCAAGTAGAACGTTTATTAAGCACTGATTACAAGCTAGATACTCTTTCCTACTGTCTCTGTATGTTACTAATGAATTTGATTTTTACAACACTATATAATACTGGCAGATGCTAATATTCACCCTCCTGTACAGAGAAGGAAACAGACATAAGGGTTTATGTAACTTCCTAACATCATAACTCAGATGCGGCAGAGCCAGCATTCTAAACCAGGTGGTCTGGCTTCCAAATCCAAAACTCTGTAAGTTTTCATTTGTTTTAATTTTAATCTCAGTGGCAGAGGGACATAGAAAGAGAGAGAGAGAGAGAGAGAGAGAGAGAGAGAGAGAGAGCTTCTTTCTATTGCTTCTCTCCCCAAGTGCCTGGAGTGATCAGGGCTGGGCCAAGTCTAAGCAAGGAGCCAGGAATTCCATGTAGATGGCAGAGGACCTAGTACCTGCTGCGTCTCAGGGTACCCATTAGCAGGAAGCTGGATTGAGAGGAAATGATCCAGTACTGGACCCAGGCACTCGGATATATGATGTGGGCATTCCAAGCAACACCAAGACTCTCCAGTCTTGTTTTGTTTCTTTAAAAAAAGATTTATTTTTTATTGCAAAGTCAGATATACAGAGAGGAGGACAGACAGAGAGGAAGATCTTTTGTCTGATGATTCACTTCAGGTGGCCGCAATCCGAAGCCAGGAACTCAGATCCTGCTTTCCCAGGCCACAAGCAGGGAGCTGGATGGGAAGTGATGCAGTGGGGACACGAATTAGCACCCAATATGAGATGCTGGTGTTACAAGACAGAGAATCAGCCAATTGAACATGGCATTGGCCCCAGAGATATTGCATTTCTAGTTAACATTGCAGTCAAGGGCTTATAAAGAGATCAGTACGTAGAATATAAAAAGATGGCTCCTGGTGTGGTAGCCTAGTGTTTAAAGTTCTTGCCTTAAATGTGCCGGGATCCCATATAGATACCGGTTCGTGTCCTGGCTGCTCTACTTCCCTTCCAGCTCCCTGCTTATAGCCTGGGAAGGAAAAGAGGACAGCCCAAAGTCTTGGGACCCTGCATCCATGTGGGAAATCAGAAAAGCTCCTGGTTCCTGGCTTTGGATTGGCTCAGCTCTGGCTGTTGTGTCCACTTGAGGGAGTGAATCAGTATATGGAAGAGCTTTCTGTCTCTTCTCTGTAAATCTGCCTTTCCAATAAAATAAAAATAAATCTTAAAAAAAATAAAAAGATGCTAGTTCAATAACAGTATAGGCAAGGGCTATAAATGATAATTAAGTAGAAAGATGACCATTTCACCCATGCACAGTAAATTGTATAGTATTTTATTTTAAAGATTTATTTATTTACTTGAAAGGCAGAGTTACAGAGAGAGACCTTCTATTTACTGGTTCACTTCCCAAGTGGCTGAAATAGCCAGGAGTGGACCAGGCTGAAGCCAGGAGCTAAGAGCTTCATCCAGGTATCCCCCATGGGTACAGGGTCCCAAGGACATGGGCCATCTTCTGCCTTGCCAGGCACATTAGCAGATACCTGGATCAGAAGTAGGGCAAACAGGGCAGAAGCCAATGGCTATATGGGATGCCAGTATCATAGGTAGCAGCATATTTCACCACAACCTGGCCCCACAGTAAATTTTAAAATTATCACAGATCATTGAAACTGATAGTATAAAATTCCTACTCACTGATTTGACAAAGGTGCATTGCAGCTTTCTTTGGTACTTTGATATTGGCTAGGTACCTAGCCCGGGCAGGTCTTGCTTCTGTTGATGGAGGCTGATTAGGGGACAATGATATAGAACAGTGGTGATGGCTTTTCCCCCAATTTCAGTCTATCGTTTATGTCACATGTTTAATGCTTTGGGATCTCATTAGGTTCTCCTATTTCCATATTAAAGACTGAGACTTTTGGGACGTTAAATGAGTTGCTCGGAGTCATGCATTTAGGTTGGACAAGAGTTAGAATTGGGCTGTGTGACTCCACAATCAGAGCTCTTTTATTTTTTTAAGATTTATTTATTTTTATTGGAAAATCAGATATATAGAGAGGAAGAGAGACAGAGAGGATCTTTTCTTCACTGATTCACTCCCCAAGGGGCCACAATGGCCAAAGCTAAATGAGCTGATCTGAAGCCAGGAGCCAGGAGTGTCTTCTGAGTCTCCCATGTGGGTACAGGATCCCAAGGCTTTGGACCATCCTTGACTGCTTTCCCAGGCCACAAGCAGGGAGCTGGATGGAAAATGGGACTACTAGGATTAGAACCAGTACCCCATGTACCGGCATGTGCAAGGGGAGGACTTAAGCTGCTAGACTACTGCGCTGGGCTCCATAGTCAGAGCTCTTAACCATTGAGCTATAACACTTCTCCAATTATCAGTCCAACCCAGTTCCTCATTTTTGTTTGCTTGGAGGCCCAGGTCATGTGTTGGGAACAATGTCTGGGCCTGCCTTTAATGCCGCCCAAGTAGATCCATTGCAGTGTCAGCAGAAGGTGTTGGGAACAGGGAATTAGTCTTGTCCGAATGGGAACCATGCCTCTCAGTGTCAGTAATGGAGATGGAATAACCAACAGAGTGGGTTAGTGGGGAGTGAAGGGACTGTTGCTTCTCTTCCTTATAAAAACCTGCAGAGATTCTTCTTGCAGCTAGTCTGTGCCTTTGAGTAACAGATTTGTTCTAGTTAAAAGAACGCTATCTGCTATCTGGCTCAGTGATGCTTCCAGTCTACCTGGTATGGGTCCAAGGACCAAAATAACCGAAGGAACGTGATAGAGAAAGTTCGTATTTCAGAAAGGTCAGCCTCTGAATTAGAAATAAAGCCCAGCTTGCAGTTTTTCCTAGTTTAATCCTGTTACACATGATTCATTTCTGTGTTAAAGCACTTCAATACTTGTGACAAAAGTGAGACCTCTAATTGGGCTCTCACCTCACCATGGAAGCCTAGAAGGAGATGAAAGGAGTGTTCTTATATATTTACTTAATTCTGGTCTATGTTACAGAAATAAAAAGTAGCTTTAGAATTTTCCCTGTCTAGGATAATTGAATTCTTCATTCTAGGAAGTTTTAGAAGAAAGAGCTGGTTTCCTAAACGTTAGCTATGAAGGAGTCTTTTTATAATAGGTTAATGAGTTCTCATTTAACTTAGCTGGGGTGTGACAAGTGAGCCTTGTGCCATCAAGCATTGATGCTGGATTGGAGTTATGCCACATGAACTGCTGGCAGCATTCTCCTCAGGTTGTCTTTTGGTGTCTCCACAGTTCACTTTCTAAGCTGTGTCTGTTAGGCACCTGTTTGTACTGGCACAGAATATCATAATAGATGTTTTGGGGACACGCAGTTCCTATCTCAAGGAGCAGATACTTAATAAAGGGATGGTTACAGTACTGGGGAGTAAATACTGGAGTCCGTGTGTGTAGAATGTATTCTTAGAAGAGTGGAGGAAGTGACTTTTTGTCAGGCTGCTGCATTGGAAGAAGCTTCAAAAAGGAGGTGAAGTTGAGGAATTTGGTGGAAGGGGCCTGAAGTGCCATTGGCACCAGCTGTCATTTTTATGATTGAAAGAGACTTTACAAATCTTACAGTGGGGGGGTCAGCACTGTGGGTTAAGCTTCTGCCTGCAATGCCAGCATCCTCTATGAGTATCTATAGAATCTGGATCTTGTGTTTGTGATCCATCCATCTGCTAATGTGCCTGAGGAAGCAGCAGTAGATGCCTTGGGTGTTTGGTCCCCTGCAGCCTATAGGAGACCAGGAGAGAGTTCCAGGCTCCTGGCTTTGGCCCGGTTCAGCTTCTCTCTATAAATCTATTTTTCCAAAATAGATATTAAAAATATTTATTTATTTTCTTTGGAAAGGCAGATCTACAGAGAGAAGGAGATACAGAAAGATCTTCCATTTGCTTGTTCACAGCCCAGGTAGCTGCATTGGCCAGAGCTGAGCTGATCTGAGGCCAGAAACTTCCTCTTGCCAGTCTCCCACACCAGTGCAGGGTCCCAAGGCCTTGGGCCATCCT